ATATAAATCAAAATAGCCGTTAAATTAAATTATATATAAATTATCAAGGAAAAGTAAATACAAATACACTGTTCGAATAGAGGACATGATGGTACATCGTGTATCATAGCTCTAAGCGGTTGTTGTCCTATAGGGCATTCGATGAGAGAGCTATGCTACACAATGTACAATCATGTCCCTTATTCGAACACTGTATTTACCTGACCGACACAGTTCATATGCCTTCAGTACAAAACAAGTTTTTTAGATTTTTAAATGCAAGAAAAAAAAAATAAATAAAAAGCTAATCTTCCGTTACATGTTCATATTGTTTCGTTTTTGACGGACCGACGTACCCATCAATAGACTGGCTATAATAATCAACCAATTAGTTTCCAGTAAACTGTATATCATCATCACTAATACTGTTATGAGGAACGATGCGTACAGTAATTTGTGTTCAAAACGACGAATCAAATAAGAGCTACAGAACCCAGCGACGATCCCGGATACAATACCTAGAGTTGCCGCTGCACCAACAAGAATATTACTGCCTCCTGAAATAATCAAATTATTATTTGTTTTGAAATTTATTTGTTGTCCTCCTTTATCTTGATTGTTTCGTATTTCCATTCTGTAAGTGGGGGCTTTCCGGTGTTGGATGCGAATGAAAATAAAATAAAGAATGAAAATATATGAATATAAATATAAACATAAATACAGATGTAAATATGAATATGGATATGAACGTGAATATGTACTGAATACGACTATGAATATGAATGTAAATATAAATATGAACATAAATATAAATATGAATATGGACATGTTTATGTACTGAATATGAATATGTATGTACTGAATATGAATATGTATGTACTGAATATGAATATGTATATGTACTGAATATGCCTATGAATATAAATGCAAATATGAATATGAATGTGAACATAAATATAAATATGGATATGAATATGGACATGTATGTACCGAATATGTATATGTACTGAATATGAATATGTATATGAACTGAACATGACTATGAATATGAATGCAAATATGAATATGAACATAAATATTAATATGAATATGGACATGTATATGGACATAAATATGAATATGTATATGTACTGAACATGACTATGAATATGAATATGAACATAAATATTAATATGAATATGGACATGTATATGGACATAAATATGAATATGTATATGTACTGAACATGACTATGAATATGAATGTGAATTTGAATGTGAATATGAATATGGATATGTTTATGGACATGAATATGGATATGTATATGTACTGAATATGAATACGTATAGGCCTATGTAACTAAATATGAGTATGAATATGAATGGGAATGTGAATGTGAATATGAATGTGGATATGAATATTGACATTTATATGTACTGAATATGAGTATGAATATGAATGTGATTGTGAATATGCATATATTATATAACCAATGTTTTCGAAATAATTATATACACAGTGAATTTGTAGAAATATCATAGCTCCAAGGTAACTATTATTATTATGATAATAAAAAAGGATGATGATAATGTTTGTAATTATAATGATGATGATTATGTTGATGATAATCAAAAATCATAATGAGATATTGCTAATAACAAAATTGTAATTATAATTCGGGTTTAACAAATCTTATTTCATTTCATTTCATTTAATTTATTTTGTCTAAAAAAAATACATAAAAAACAACAACCGGTTATAATACAACAAAATAAAAGCATAACAAATCTGAAACAGGCCGAGACAGGATTCCTAAAAGTGAACCAAATCACTATCATGTAGGTCTCCTAATGCACTATTCCGATTACACATAAAATAATAATGAGCAATTGAAATAATACTTAAAATCTGTAAAATTTAGATATCAGCCATAGTGAATTTAACAAAGGCGTAACAATGATAATTCTCACCAACTTCCCTGAGGTAGATATATGCGAATGCAGTTAGAGATGACGCCTTGAGAGTTCCAAAGAGAAACGAGATGACGTACAGTTTGATGTAACTGAACTTTAGTAACGACGATATACACTCTTTCCAGTCAAAGGTAGGGCATCTGTTTGTATTTTGACTATTGCCATTGTACTATCAAATGTAAGATTGACCTATATTCAATTATACTAGTAATATATTCTTAAATATAGGCCTATTCATGCACGAATATGGCTGAACCAATGAAAGCGACACTTTAAGCTAGCTAATTGTCTTTTGTGTGTGTCTCATATTAAACCCCACTTCCCCCCCCCCCAAAAAACCACTTTAACTGACTTAAAGAGGCCCTGTTGCTTTCATTGGTCCATTCGAGCGCACGAATACTTTCTGTACGATCCCCGTGGGATGGGGACACAATATGTTGGGGAGAAAATAAAAATTATATGTTAGGCTTAATTGTAACGGATTATAAGAAAAATCGTTTAAATAATTTAAATCACTAAATTGTCTGAATTTCCGGGGCTTCGCCTTTTATTCACTCTGAGGCCAGGAGCCGAAGCTAATAAGGTGTTCAATGATAGACTTGCCTTGGGAAAGAAAAGTACGATAATTGCTGACAGTGCCATGAGGACAGCGTTTGCTACGAAAATGTATGAATAGTTATATTGTTGAAATTCAGTTCCACATCGTTTGACCTCAGCAGTTGATCGATCAATGAGATATCCCGCCATCAGTGCACTGCGTGAACAATCATTAAAAAAAAAACAGCATCGAAATAACAACTTAATTTGTGACTTTTATATTCATAAAAAATTACATACTCGGTAGCCCTATACAAAATACTGTACGTCCTTACAACACAGGGACTAAGAGAAAAAAAAATGAGATGCTAGAATACACTCCGCGAGTGTTTAGACCTACCTTCGCCCACCGATATGCTTCCCTGTATAAAATTCCCACGCATCTTTTCCCTTTGAAAAAGCAATTGATTTAACAGTGAAAACAGAATCTCCACCTAGACCGGGATTCGAACCCGGGGACCAATCAGTGGAATAGGGATGGGCAGTGCAGCCAGTGCAGAGCACTAGGCCCAGTGCTATGGGGCCATTCATAGATAGTTCTAAAAATCATAATTAAAAATAATTTTCAAAATTAAAAAAAATTTATTCAAATTTAATTTAAGTCTAAGGGTGCCATTTCTGTCATCTAGAGGTGATAATCATAAACATTCTCAAATTTCTATCTGTGAAAGTCCCTCCCTGGCCCTCTATTTCGATTTTTGTATCCGCCACTGCCGATTTTTAAATTTTACATGCCATCAATTTTCTTGATTTGTTTAAACTATAGTCCATGGTATTCAAACTAGGGCTGCCAAAATTTGTAAGGTCACCGGAAGTTTATTTACAATTAGTATTTCAAACTTGTTTATGTTCATCAAATATATTTGATAAGGTCTTGAATTAGTGATAATGACAGTATTGACCTTATTCGTTGTCCGACACAGCCTCTGTACTCTTCACCCAGTATTTGAATTAAACACCTTCGCCTTCAAACCAAGAACTTTTAAAAAGTTAAATATAGTTAATACTTACAATAAGGCCCCTCCGATTGCGCCAAACACTTTCGATGTTCCATAACGATCGCTATTTCCCCCTAGAGCTTGTGCTAATGACACATCAGAAGTTACACGAATAGTCATCCAACACATATCTCCTAATCCATTCAGAGCACATATTATGATAAATGCTTTGAAGACATCCGACACAATATATCCAATTTGGGGTTGTCCAAAAGACGTCACAGACTGGTAGCAGTAATTGTCGTCAGTCTCAGAGCAGCATCCCGGGGGAAAGGAATATCTCCGAGCAAAAGACATATTTGACGTTTCATTTTGGCTGCAGCACCATCTTGGTTTCTGTATGAATCCAATCGGTGTAATACAGCAAGTAAATATAACGATGAAAATTACAAGAAGGCTTCTCCTGTACTCTTTAAAATCTACAACCGGACCGATTAAAGGCAGCACCACAATACTGAAGGTGTGACGAACTGCGGATACTAATCCAATTTCCTGCGGAGAAAGCCCTAACTGTGTGTAATAAAGAGAAGAGAAATTAGTGAGGCCTGCGAGTCCTCCGTATACCAACGTGAAAAAGATCTTAAAAGGCACCGTATCAATATCAATGGAAAGCTCGGATTTAAGAACTTCGAAAAAAGATGGTGATGTTGCCATGTTTGTGTTGAGTTAAGCCTGATATGGTGTTTGTAGGCAGGTATAGAAATATGCCGCCCTGGAGCTGGCATAATAACCGCAAAGCAACAAAACAAAAAGTAACAATATAATTGTAGGCTATGCATGAGCACCTGTATGATTCAATAGAGAAAAGTAAAAAGTGTATCATGGTGAAGAAAACACCAATTGACCCGGATGATATATCTTTTGTAATTTTTCATTAAAAGTGAGCTTGTCGTTTTTACAAGTTTCATGAATACAATCCGCCATCAAATTCGAGACCCCTCTAATTCTGAGACCCCTGTAATTCGAGACCACTTTTTCAAAGTAAAACTGACCACTTATCTTTTAACACTGCCCTCTAAAAGTTATGAGAACTCTCTAATTCGAGACCACTTTTTCAAAGTACAACTGACCACCTACCTTTTAACACTGCCCTCTAAAAGTTATGAGAACCCTCTAATTCGAGACAACTTTTTTTTCAAAGTACCACCTATCTTTTAACACTGAGCTTTATCCTCTACTTATGAGACTCCTCTAATTCGAGACTGAGACCACCTTCATGGGAGTAGCCTACCAAGTGACAAAAATAATGACCTTCAATTGAAGACCATATTTAATTCTAATTCGAGACCACATTTTCAAACCAACTGATCACCTATTTTTACTTTACATATTAATTGATTGAATTTTTATTTTTAATTAATTACTTAATCTAATAATATATTGAAGCATAAGATAGGCTTACTTTATAAAGTGTAAACGATAATATGATATTACTCAAGGAATCTGAAAAACTCGATGCTAGACAGAAAGAATTGACGGCCGAGGTGAGTCTACAAGAAGCCCTCGACTTGTTTCATCATATTCTTCTTAGAAGGTTTGGGGTAGGTATAAAAATATCCGTTTTATGTATTAAAAGGCAGTATTTTTTGTAATTTTGCGTTTCAAGATTTTTTTCACTACTCAGTCAATATAATAATACGATTTCTTTGTCATGCCATTATATTTTATGTTTCAATATTTTGTGTCTAAACCATTTATTTTCCGTCTAATTTTGGCAATGTTTTTAGCAGTGGTTGATGATAGTAAATTAACCTCTTGATTAGCGATTGTAATGTAGCAAATTGGGTAACTTTTCAGAAATATCCCGGCAACTAAACGCGCAATTTCTCTCTATTGAACGCCATAAGTCAGTGACCGTTGTAATTTTTGTGAAAGATTTTCTTGTCTAAATAACGAATTATGACATTGCTTTCAGTACGTGTATTTGATCCCCTATGGAAGTCTGATGATAAAATAATACCAAAGGATAAAGGTTTGCATTTTTCAACATATTATCATCTGTCTGAATGACTGTGCTCCAGTGAGGGATTCCATACTTTTTTCTAGGCTAGCTAGCTTACTACTAGTAGGCCAAATCAGTAGGCGCCTCTTTTTAATTAAAGTACGCATAGGCATAGGTAGGCCTAGGGTCTAGCGTACCGTAGGCCTAGGGTATGAGACATTTTCAAATCCCTTCCTGGACGCTAGTAGGCCTACTAGGCCTAGAGTCAACGAGTATATCACCGCCTACCCTAGCTAGCCTAGTACTACTAGCCTAGGCCGTAGCCTAGAGTAGTACTAGGCCTAGCCTTATTAATTAGGGCTAGCCTAGGCCTTGGTTGGCCCAAGCCTACTGCTAGGAAGAATGGCAGGTCTCTCCTTTTTGTATTTAATATATAGGGCCTACTGTAGGCCTATGAATCACCAGGCCCTAGTACTAGTAGCTACAGTAGGCCAAGAGCGGTGCGGCCAGACCAGAGGCCTAGCTCTAAAAAATATACATTTTGAACTAGCTTAGGGCCTAGGCCTAGACTATGCCTAGCTAGCTAGACTAGCCTAAAATCAGAATGAAGCTGAATATGTTGCTACATCATTAAACCGACAGGACCAGGTCAGGAACAGCTAAAACAAGGTACGGTGTTATGAAAGTAAGCCCTAGTCTACTACACTAGAGGAGTAGGCCTAGTGTATTAACAGTCATGGGGTCAATTACAATCATAATGTTATCAATTAGAAATTGTAATTAGGCCTAGGTAGGCCTACAGCAGGCCTACTCTGTTTTTTAAATTATAATAATTATTCCTTTTTTCCATTACAATTACATTTTCTCAATTACATTTCCACAAATGATGTTCCAACAAGTTTAAAAAATAATATTTTTTATTTATCAAACTAATATACATCAAACACAAAACTTTTCAGTGAAAGGGATTGTTTATAGACCGAGGGCCTTTTGAACCCCTTAACGTGTCAATGTCAACTGTAGCTCCTTTTCAAACAACAAAATGGTTTGTGCGCTGACAATCTACTCTCAAAGGAATATCATTCCAGAAGTTAATTACTTGTTGAAAAAAAGTCAACTCTATGTGCTTTATTCAATTTTGGTTTGAAAATCTTTTTATAATTTTAAAAGTATCAATCAGGTCAATTTTCATCTGTCATTGTTCAAAGCTATTTACAGTAGATTTAAAGTTTTTAGTCTATCTTTGTAGTTTACAGTAAGATTTTTTAGTTCTGATACTAACTTGTTTGCTCTCATTTGTAGGCCACTTTTTCGAACATCATGATTTCCCTCTTCTTCCAGGATTGCATCAGTACTCTAGATGTGGCCTTACAAAACATTTGTACAGGATTGGAAAACTGTTAATACAGTATCTATTTTATTAAGGATTGATTGATTACTCGAAGGATAGTCATTGCCTTCTAGTTTGCTTTGGTGCATTGCATAATAGGTTTTATATCACTGGTATAGTGACTCAAATGTCTTTTCTTCTTTAGCTGTAGTTGAGGGACCTATAAGGGCACATAGAGAAAAGTACTAAATTTCAGTATCACTCGTCTCTTTACAGTATTTTAATTAATGCGGACGGCACGTTAGAGGAATCAATAAATGAAGCCGGCCCTGAGCCTACCTAAATTTAGTCCACCTTTTGAGTCGGCTCAGTTTGCGCAATACCTGCGCCGACTCAACTTCACATCTGAATGTATGACAAACCTGGGCCAGAGTTAGATATGATTGCGGTCAATTTTGAAATCTGATGAATAAAAGTTGTTATATATAAGGATTCTATGCATAACTCATAATAATTTATTCACACTACTGTAAATGTGTGTAATGTGTATGTGAAATGTCCTGAAAAGGTAAACAAATACTGGTTTATTTACAAATAACAACAATCACATTGGAGCTTTCATTTAGATGGATGTACAGTAGCATAAATAGAGTAATATGTTTTGATATAGATTAGAATCATATATAAAATAATCCTTTGTTTGTGTTACTGTATGAGCGAAGTGGGTTCTGAAAAGAATAACAAATGTCAAAAATTGTTTATTAATGAACGTAATATGATTTGCCAAATAGTATGCTAGATGCTACTATATTCACAATTTGTGTCTATAGATGACAATCAGTGACAGCAACCTTCAATCTTACATAGGCCACAGTTTAATTATGCCGGTATGGACTTTCATAATCGCGAGTCTGGTTTTGCACAGAGTAGCCAAGCTAAATATGGATTTTGGTTATTATAATAATTATCGTTGCCATGTCATGAAGCAAAATGCTACGTTTTAAAAAATCGAAAAAAAGTATAAGGACAATAATTGAAATTTGGCTCATGTTTCACACGAATTACATGTGTTAATGCTAGGTTGGGATTTACTGTTCCACAATCATGTACAGTACCACAATTCATCGACCCGGCCCAAAGGAGAAGTGTGAACGTTCGTAGCGCTGACAAAAGTAAGCAGTTACAAGTGGATGAGTTTTCTGACATCCAGTGGATGTCACTTCTTGAGATTTTGACAAACAAAAACGGTTTGTAATGTAATCGAATGTAATTGCGATGATTACAATTACATTATTTGAATTACAACAGTTACAAATACAAATTACATTTTTGAACCAAATTACATATTTAAAAATGTAATGATTACTGTACAATTGATTACAAATTGGTCTTTCAGTACACAGATGTGGTACAGTAATACAATTTGTGGGACTATACAAGGAATGTTAAACAATTAGAATGTTTATGTAGTGACGTATTATTTAAGAAATTACAATGCATAATGTCTGATGTTACCCACCCAGTCCATGATGCTATTACTCTCAGTGAAACTGGTAAATTAGTTCACCCTAAAGTTAAGACTAACTGGTTTAACAATTCATTCATTCTATCAGCAGTCAGACTTTTTAATAGGCAGGTTAATAGATAAGCCATAATAATGTACAGTATGTCTTGCCTTTCCCTCACAACTCAGTAATCCTTACAATGTATTTTTTAAATTTAAGCAATTTCTGTTGTGCAACTTGTATTTTAATTATATTTTTATATTTTTCTACTAATATAAGTTTATTTAAGGATCCATTTTTCATAGCTGTATTTATACCGTTGTAACAATAAGGTTTTATCGTATCATATCGTAACAATATATGCTTTAAAGACAGGTTTATTAATTGGTAAAATTGTAATTGTTGGATTTTGTCATTTGTGTGAAGATTGTATTGAGTTCTGGAAGAAGACATTACAGTTTGGTCAAGAGTCAGAATTGTATGAGATATTCCAGCAAACAGCGCAGGATGTTCTATTTAGGGCGCAGATCCAAACAGTTTCCGACATTGGTAAGACTATTTAAATTGATATTGTACTCTATTAAATCAGGTAGTGTGACTTTTGATATGTCAAGCCAAATTGTGAATGTGTGGTACACTTTCGGTTTGTTATTCATGCAGCGCTATATGTCGTAGGTACATACAGTATGGATGAGGTGTTTGTAAAGTTTCAACATGATAAATATTTTTGAAATATTAAAAATTACCACTAATATCTTGCCAAACTAAGGTTAATTTTGTGCAGACTTAGTTTCAAATATACTCAAGTTTTTACCTCTCAATGTTATCAACAGGCTTTTAACCAGCCCCATAATACATTATTTATATAGTAATTGGTACTGTACCTGGGTTTAAGCATATAATTTTGTTTAGCTGCTGAATTTTGATTCTACCTATTTCATTTATTATGGTTTTCACCCACCGATATGCTCTGTGTGTCTATACTATTCTTTAATATTGCAAATGCGTTAAATACAGTTGATAACTGTGTTCACTGTATATAGATTTTTTTTAAATATGTAAATAAAAAAAAATATTTCTTCTTAGGTATGTTAAGAAAAAGAGAAGGAATTAAAACAAATATTGGTAGGTAAAAGCTGTAATAAATGAAATAGGTAGAATCAAAATTCAGCAATTAAAGAAAATTATATGCTTAAACCCAGGTACCAATTACTATATAAAGAATGTATTATGGGGCTGGTTAAAAGCCTTTTGATACATTGAGAGGTAAATACCTGAATATGTTTAAAAAAGGAGGATAATGAAAGGCTATCCACAACTAAAGCAATGTATGAAATCAATTTCTTTAGGACATATATCAATTATAAATGTGTAAATTAGGATTTACTGTATGATAATATTGATGAATAAATGTATTGTTTTGCCACAAAAGAGAAATAAAAAATACATAGGCCTATTGGTCTCTTCTATTTGATGCATTGCAAGCTCATTACTCATTTTCAATCTGAACAGTAGTAATGAAACTTCTTATAAGCACAAACGTATAAATGTATCTGTTAATATCCAAATTTATATCGGTCTCTTCTGTGTGATACGCAAGTTCGATATTCATTTTCTACCTGAACAATAGTAATAAAACTTGGTTTAAGAATGTATACTTTATTTTATGGTAATTAAGTCCAGAACACTTACAATTTGGTGTTTGTTGGTTTTTAGATATTGTAGCATTTGTCAGATTTCTTTGTTACATTGGGACAATCAGTGTTGAATTGATTGATGAGCCAGAACCAGAGCCAGACCCAAATCCAAAGTCAAAGGTAGAACCAAAGGTTGTGGAAGATGAAGAATCACAAATGTCTAATGTGGAAATGGGTGAGTGTACTTTGTGTTACCATAGTTCCTTGGTATAAAGTAAGGCCACCTATAAGCCTACCCCTTTGGCAAAAGCCCATAGTGTACTGTAAGTTGAATTAATAGCAGTCTTTTACAAACACCCTGAAAAAAAAAAAAATTGTCGACTTTGAATTTGGCATGCAGTGCAGTACAAAATATTTGGTTAAAAAGACAATTCCTTGGGGTACAGTATGAGTACACGTTACCCTACTCACCTAAAGCATCTTAATTTTGTGTTCAAGGTGGTGAGCTTATTTACCAGAGCAACTATGTGTTATAAACACGTTATATTTTCATTGCGGATTTTTTGGGCTCAGTACGGACTCTAAATGTATGCATTTTCTTTTAGTTTTAAGGCGTATGCGGATTTTATGTAGAAAAATGTAGAAAAAGACTAAATTTAAACATTCAAATGCTCATTTCAGAAGCATGGATTGAAATAATTTGTTTTATAAGTCAATCATGATGTCATCACTGCAACTCCCAATTTTATTTGCCTATTTACCACAGTCCACTAATTTTTCAATTAGTGGACGCTTAACTTTTTTAGGTTCGTGTACAAAAAAAAAAGTTACTCTAAATTAAGTATGAACAATTAAGCAATTCCTTGATTCAATGAACGTTTAATCTGAATATTCTAGACCTATTTTAAAGACTCAAGGATCAAAATTGGATGTAGGCCTACGGCCAGGCAGGTGGCTGCCAAGGCCTCATCCTACTACTAGACTTATCCGTAGCCTAGCGTAGTTATGAAATCATCCCACGATTTTTACCTGTCTGCAACCGACCAAAAAGTTAGTGACAGTGACTGTATTCTCTCTCGAATGCCTTAAAATTCTTTTATTTCTTTCGGATGTGAAACATTACAAACAAGGACTTCTAATTTAATACACAAATTAAAAATTGTTACTCATCGTGTCCGTACTCAGTACTGTACTGCTGATGTATAGTTAATGCGTACTACAGGAGCACAAATCAGCATACGCACATCTAAATGTAAATACGCACACAGTAAACTGATCATATCACTATAGCAACCGATGACTGCTACCTGTACAACAGTTGGTTACTACCAAAACTAACATTAAAAGACGGGGATCGACTTATAAAGCAATTAGTAGAGCATGCATCGTACACTAGCAGAAAATTATTATACTTTAGGTTAGATTTAATGCATTCAAAAAAATTTTCAAGCATTAAATCTAACCTTTGTATAATAATTTTCCTATAGTGTACCATGCGGAGTTCTACTGATTGCTTAATATTTTCTTGTTGACAAACAGAAATTAAATGTACAGTACAGTATGCCAAAGTGCTGCACAGAGGTGGTGTATTTGAATACTGGTTGACCATAATATATATCCATGATTGACACTGTACTTGGGTTCAATTTAAATTTGCTGAGTTTTGTTTCATGAAAGTTTTTTTACCAATATGAATTATATTAGTTTATTAGTCTTTTACAAAGTACAGTTAGTATTATTTGGCTCTTCTTGGTACAGGGCTAAAAAGAATGTTAGTAATAATGTGTAGTACCGTATGACCCTCTTGTAATAAATATTAATTTATAACATTATTAATTTTTGTACCATTTTTTCAATTTATAAATCTGCATTGACTTATAAATAAAAAAAAATATGGTTACACAGGTACTGTACTAAAGAATAACACAGTTCGTTAGTCTGCATTGACAAGCCAAATTTTGTAGTTTCTTACTTTTTCTTTTCTTAGCAACATTGATTATCATCTCTTCAACAATTTCTTTATTATCAGGTACAAATAAAAAAGATGAAGTAACTGACAAGAAAGAGCAGAGCTATGAAGAACCCAGTGTTGCCAGTGATAATGTCAGTTCCGATGGTGATGAAGGAACCCAACCAGAAGAAGATGGTATGGAACCTGATGAAGAGGACGAAAATGTCTCAAGCAACCAAGATAATGAAAAAGAAGTTAATACGTTTCCCTGCCAGGAATGTGATGAGCAGTTTCCAACACCATGGGACTACGATATTCATTTCTATACCAAGCATGCACCACAGCCTACTCCCCTTGGTGAACCAGAAACTGCTAAACGAGGTAGACGTAAGCGAAAACTTCGTAAGAGCCCCAGAAAAACAAAAAAAGAGGGCTTAGTAGATGATGCTGATACGGTCACAGACAGCAAATCAAAGCACATATTTCGATCCAAGAGGTTGTGTGCCAAGTATGGTTCTTTTGATGAAGTCCTCAATAGAGATTGTCCTGAAGAAATACGTGACATCAGTACGGTGTTGAAAAAGGCAAAAAAGAAAGTCAAAACAAAAGTACCACCTACTACTGCCCAGGATTCACAAAGTGAACCTGATGACAACCAAAATGATAACCAAGAGACCAATAATTCCCAAAATAATAACAAAGAGACCAATGATGATACAGAAGATAGTGCTGCTGATGGCGGTGGAAATACTGCTGATGGTTGTGGAAGTACTGCTGATGGCAGTGAAAGTGCTGCTGATGGAGGTGGAAGTACTGCTGATGGCAGTGGAACTGTTGATGAGCCAGAAACTACACAACTTATTGAAGTTGAAGTTTACGATGACAGTGTTCCAAAGAAGAAAGGACGCCCAAGAGGTAAAAGTGGAGGCCGAATTAACCACAGATCATATCCATGCCGAATCTGCTCTGAACAGGTATATGGACATGATTTCAAACGTCACATGCAGAATGTACATAAATTGAATTCAGAAGTAAAATGCCTAACATGCAACAGAATCTTCTATAGCCAAGACATGCTTCTAGAACATGTTGAACGTCATCGAGCACACAACTTGAAGAAATACACCTGCTCCATATGCGGCAAGAATCTGAAAAACATCTACACGCTTGAATACCATGAGAAGTCGCATTCAAAACCTGAGCAGTGTTCACTGTGCCCAAAATCATTCACAACACCCGGCACTCTAAAACGCCACATGGTCGTACACACACAAGAAACGCGTTTCAAATGTAAGTATTGTCCGAAAGAATTTTACCATTCAAACAAATGTGTGAAACATGAAGCGTCACATCAGGAAAAGACATTAAAATGCAGCAAGTGCGACTTAGCTTTCCATTTCAAGAGTGGTCTTCATATTCACATGCAAACTCACGATCCAAACAGGGAGCTTGTACCCTGCGACCTCTGCAACAAGTCATTTAAAACAAAGGGAAACTTAACCAGCCACATCCGACAAGTCCACCAGAAACAAAAAATGCATGCTTGTACTGTCTGCGGCGTCAAGTTCGCCAAAACGTCAACAAGAAAACGTCATGAAGCAACGCACACCGACGTAAAACCCTATCAGTGTGAGATCTGTGGTAAAAATTTCCGGGAGAAGGGTCATTTGAAACGCCACGTCGAATGGCACAAAGGGGAGCAAAAGAATCAGTGTGATGTTTGTGGCAGGTTGTTCTCTTTTAAGGATAACATGCTTAAACACCGACGAATCCACACAGGTGAAACACCCTATTCTTGTGATCTTTGTAACCAGTCATTCTCTTACATTGAACAGCTGAAGAAACACAAAAAGAAGTTGCATACAGTTGTAATGGCCGAAGATGTTCAGTACGAAACAACATTAGAGATACCCAGTACTAAACCAGATCAGGTACCTAGCTCCAATATTCTTTCAGATGCTATCCAAGCCTGTCTGTCGTTGGATATTGAGTCAACCATTGAGGTCATGTGATTTTACCTGCTGCTATCCAAGCTTGTCTGTCATTGGACATTGAGTCAACCATTTAGATAAATTGATTTTGCTGTAAATACTGTTTTCCTTATTTTGGTAAACAACACATTTTAGTTGATCATTTTTGTAAATAGTTTTTAACTATGTTGCAGATGCAACTTCATTAGAGTATGTTGAGGCAAAGTGTCACATGGGGGAGGGTTTCTATGATAACCTGTTCCAACTGTCGCAGGTGGGTGTTGCGTTTACCTCACATGGAGCTAGTCACCAGCAAAAAAATTTTTGTGTAAAGTTGAACTTGAACAATACGAATCCAAAATGGCATTGAAAAATTGTTCGACTTTGATAAAATTTGACATTGAGATCATTAATTAATGGAAAACAACAATTTGGCATGTAAAATAAGATCAAAATGGATGCAAGTTGTTCACTGTAAATGACTTAATTTTAGGCAGTGGCTAAGAGTATTGTACTGTATGCTATCTTCGTTATGATGAGTGTGGCTAGCTGTTTGCCGACCCTAACCTTTATTATTACTGAGACAGCGTACTGCACCATACCTATTTTAATAATAATGTATAAATGGTAACAAACTAACTACACACTTTTCTATGTTGTACACATTGTCAAACAAATATTCAGGTGTTGCATAAAAGGTCTTGCCCCAATTAAGACCACTTTTGGGACCAGGGTTCCCATGGTCTTTAGCAGCTTTGGTTTCTAATTGGAGTAATAAAAAGATATTTGTTAATCTTGGACCACAGAAAAGTGGTTTTTAATTTGGAAGTGGTTGTTAATTGGAGGTGGTCTTTATTTGGAGGAGTCTTTTTACAGGGAGACATATGACTTTTTAATATTTTTTTAATACATTGGCTCAGAAATTGGTTTGGTTAATAGTTGTGAAGCAACAATGTGTAACAGTTTATCATTGGTACTCTCTAAACTGATCAAATGTAAATAAGTTATTCAAGGGAATGGTAGCTTAACAAGTAGACAGATATGTTGGTATGCAAACTAAAATTATTTCTACAGTCTAATGTGTTGTAAATTATATGTGCAAGGTCCAGTGAAAGCAATTATTAATCAATCACATATGCATCAATAAATAATATATACAGTTTACCCTCCAATGCCAGACAATCTTTGGGATTTGAACACTTGGGTGGTCTCAAAGTTTGGTCTGAACTTTGAGAGTTATCTTAGTGTTAATAGATTGAAGATTGTTCTTTTAAAATGTGGTCTCAAATTAAAGGAATCTTAGAATTAGTGGGGTTTCGAATTAGAGGGTGCACTGTATATATATCCATTAACACTATATATATGTGTGTGTGTGTGTGTGCAGAAAATAGGACACCTGAACTTCTAACTAAAGAAAGTTGGCACGCACACACACACACACGTTGTCTCACAAACGCACATGCTTATGTACGTTCATGCTGTCTTTTTTGTGAGATTTGATCAGTCCATTGGTTGTATTTTGTTTTCCTTTACTTGTGTTACCATATCTTGTGAAAATCAGCCTTCATAATAACTGGTCTTTCTGTCTGTTACCCATATACCCGTATACTGTTTCAATAAAAATTGACAAAATATGATTGTTTTCAAACCCGATTTTCTTTTTCTCAATGATGTGGATAATTGATCTTCCAGTGATATATAGTATTCGTAAAGTAATTTATATTTTATGCTTTCCATTTGCGCGTGTTAAAAATGTGCTCAGGTGTCAATCAGGGTGGTGCATGTGGGACAAACACACGCAATGAGAAAAAAGAAATAAAGAAGAAAAAGCATATACAATACTTTTTGTTATTTTTTTGTTGTTGGGTGTGTTCGTTTTATGACAAACACAAACAATACGCAATGGAAAAGAAGAAATAAAGAAGAAAAAACATATAGAATACTTTTTTGTCATTTTTTTTAGTTGCGTGTGTTCGTTTTATATGCACATAACTCGATTGAGACTGGAGCAAATCTGGAACAAACAAGCGCAACTGGGAAGATGGTGCTCATATCTCTCAGCAGCCGAGGAGGTGCATTTATTGAGTCATCAGGCTGAACTTTTTTACTTAACAGTCGTGCTGACTACTATTCTTATACATTTAGGTGTGTGGGTCTGCTATTATGTACAGTCTAAAGCTCTGTCCACACTATTACATATTATATGTGACAAATTCGTGTGGTGTGCCCATATATGGGCATGATGATATCATATTACACCCAAATATTGGCACATCACAGTTATTTGTCATAAAATGTCAGTGCGTGGACAGAGGTTTATATACTACAGTACTGTATGACAAATGAAACAAGTGAAATAATAGATCAATTATGCATTGATTCATTTTATTGTGAATTTCTGTTCTTTAAAAGAAGCGTAAAATTTCATGTATTTTATCATAAACTGAATTCACAGTTCATTATTATTTAATTATTTTAAAACCTTAAAAAACACTAGTGCGTTGCATTAATAGGCCAGAGCAAAACCAAATAACTAATAATTAGGTAAGATAGTATAATACTTACTCCATGTAGTGAAATGCACACAATATTTCGACATTAATTTTGTCCATCGTGTTGGAATTCAATATTTCGACATGGTCTTCATCAATGATGATAACATAATAATGTCGAAATGTTGAATCCCAACAAGACGGCCTGCATTTCGATACTTGGAGTAGGCCTATGTATTATACTTATTCATTCATTCATCTTTTATTTCAGAATTTCAAATCCATAGAACATGCCGATCAAAAGCACAAGAAAAAGTAGATAAACACAATTTGCTGTATCGACTGTACACAAAAGCATTTTCAAAATTAAGTTAATCATTGAAATACGCAGAAGCAGCTAAAGTGGGAAACCCCACAATCAACAGAAGAAAATGTGACTCCCGAAAATATTCAACAAAATTAAACAAAACATCATTGTCAACTTAAACAACTTTGACTACACTATCTGAGATTAATCAGTGGACCTTTCAGTAATAACTGGCCTACCTGAAAAAAATAAAAATAAAAAAACTAGGTGCATTACTAATTTATAATCAAATATAAAAACTAAACGATAAAGTAAAAACTAAAGTGAGAAAAATTGTGCAAATAATTAATTATTAAGAATTAAAGTTGTTAAAGCAGTAGCGAGAACAGATTAGGTCCTGTCTGTCGGGAGCGAACATATAGCCTAGCTAAGCATAAGGGGAAACATTTTAAATTTCTTGCTCGCCGCCAATCAGCGGTTTGTACCCTAAGCTGCTTTTATGATTTTTTATGCTTCGTGCCAACGATACACATCCCACTAAAAACGTCATCACACCAACTAACATCATGACATTCCCTCCTGTGCTCGTCTTCCTGGTCGATTTATCTGGAGGAGAAACATAATACAAAGCAATCACGATTAAATTACCCTCCAGAACGTTTTTTTAGAATATAAATATGTATCTTAAAAATAAACGCATCCCTCAAATACGGGCCCCTTGTAATTCCCCCTTCTGAAGAACAATAAACGCGCCTGACGTTTTTCGAATAATAAATACGGTAATACAATAGCAATATACAGTATATACATGTTCCTGTAAATACAAGTTGGCCTGTTATGTTGGTTTACATATACTGTACTAAGCAATTTTTGTAGTCGCGACATACGTAATGACACGGCTGTGTCAATCCTCTTTCCTGTATGACGAATGCTAGTGTGAATATATGTTAAATACATCTCCGTCCACACTATCGATATTGATGTGAGAAATGTGTGTTAATTGCCCATATACGCATGAATATGTCATACCACATCCAAATACAGTATAATGCATGATGATGTAATATCACATACATATATGGGCATGTTGATGTCATATCTTACCGTATTATTTTATTTTGTATACTTTTGTTTTAAGAGCATATAGACAGTCCTTACATATGCGCTATATAAATAGCAATTTATAAATACATATGTAAAATGACATTATATATGATTATATATTTGATAAGTGGATAGCGCCTGTTTATTTATCATGTTACGCACCTAACTGATCAAAAGACACGTCATCATTATGTTTAAGTATTATTGGACCAAGCATGACCGGGTATGTTTCGCGTTTTACGTCCGTGTTATCAGCACTTCGTTTTATACGCTGGCTACAATCAGAGGAGCATCGCCAGTCAGTAGAATTACATACTGACATGTTACAGTGCAGAAATACCTGTAATATAAATTTGAAAAGTCAATAAAACTTTATATGTCATTTTTCTTATTACATACATTAAAGACGACTTTTTAGACTATGGAAAAAAACTGGTCTTTAAATCATACTGTTTACAGTGCCGTGATACAGGTAGTAATGATTGCAGAGAACTAGGCCTATAGTGTTTTTCAAGAGTGCCTTTATATTTTTTTTAATTGACTGACTGACATATTCGTATTTATTTCATTTTTATTTAAATAATTCCACAGGACAGGACCTTTGTAAGAAATGCCAGCTTTTTTAATTCGGTGTGTGGCATTGGGACGTACAAATTTAATTTATCATGAAAGTTATAGTTATATGTGCTGTATTGATGACAGCTTAAAGTCCTTGCTATGGAAAATTACATTCTACATTCACCTACCCTCGAATATCCAACGAATCCAAATGTATTGAACGAAAACAACACATTTTTTCCCGATTTGCCGACCACTCCCAAGGAATGAAAAATTAATGATGGGTCGTCCAATGAGCACCTAAACAAGACGAATTATTCAGTTTAATTAATTATAATGAAAATTAATAAGTAATAATGACAAATCTAAGCCACAGAAAATACTTACCGCTGATCAATTAACTTAAAATTGGGTGCTGCATCTGCTTCTTGTGTTGGGGATGCAATGAAGGAATCGATAAAAAGTGTCATCTCTGTAGAGAACGCTTTGACTTTAGCGCCAACATACACCCTGGTGCCAATATCTAATGTAACTGGATAACGCCACGTCGGTATTGGTTGTGTAAAATGTTCATCCGTGTACAATTGCAGTTGAAACGTAAGATTGCCATAGCTTTCCTTGCTGGATACTTTCACCACTTCGTGAGTAATGAAGCTTAGTGATAATTCGGCGGTATTCTCGAAACGACATCGAACGGCAATCTTATTACTGTTTTCGTGGTAGGTATGATACTTTTCATCAACATGTTGAAATGTCAACTCATTGTGGTAAGTGTAATCCTCAATGGATGACTGAAATACAACGTGAACGTTTGGTTAACGAAATTATATGCTTGTAGTGTTTACCTGTGTTTAGATGGAGTACGTACTAAACTGACATGGGCCTGTACTGTCACTGAACATCAACCTTTATAATAAATAATAATAATAATAATAATAATAATAATAATAATAATAATAATAATAATAATAATAATAATAATAATAATAATAATAATAATAATAATAAATGTTGAAACAAATTCATCTGGTTAATAGAAGTAGGTTGTTATGGTTGTAAGGTTATTAAAAAAACTTTACGACCAACCATTATTTTCTCAATACTTTAAATGCCTTTTTGCCTAATTATCGTTATATCCTTCTTATTACAGTAGGATATGTGTAAAAATCAAGTTTTGTAACATGGTCTTTCTACATTGAACGATATAGATTTTTACACAAATTTGTTTCTTTTTGAGCCGTCTGTATGGCCTATTACAACGGAAAAATGAAAGTTAATGGTAAAATATTAGGTAGAGAGAGTCGATATTTAGTTAGGCCCAGGTCCTACTTACTGTAAGGTATGTACCACATTGATCGTACTGCGTCATAAAATACATCCAAATTATACCATTCCTGGTTACATATCCGTACGGGACACAGGATTGGTCAAGCAAATGTGGCGTTGTGGAATTAGATACGATCGAATTTCGTACATATATGGTCATGGAGTTGTCACCGCATACGACATCTAAAGGACCAATGGAATCGGAAATCAAACTTTACTTACAATTAAAAATTAAAAATTAGAACAAAAGCAAATTTATATCGTCATGTTAAACAGAGGCATAATAGCCTCCATTTCTCCTGGCATGTATAACCACTAGGACATGGATGTATGGGTTCGCAAATGGATGATCGAAAAAACTGCTTTAATTAAATACAAATTCTGTTAAAAATTAGTTATATTATCCACAAATCGACCAATTATACTGTACCTGTATTTGAGTCGGCCGATGTTGTTAACACTGAAGAAATTGTGAGGTCAGGCAGAGTAGTATGGAGTGACTCCGTGTATTAAATGTTATAATTACAAAATAAATAGTATGTTATTTCAATTATTGTTTAAAAGCTTTTAAGTTAAATATAATTCATTTCATTTTTATTTTCTTGTGTATTTTAAGACGAATACCCACTCAAAAATAGATCTTCAGTGCAGCTGGATGAAATGCATAGTATAAATATTGCCTTTATTCACGGCAAAATGCCTTTTCATTATTTACCTTGATTTACCTTGATAAATCCGAAAAAATCCGAATTATTTCAAAGGACTGTCTATTCTATGGGGCAATCTTCAAACTGGAATTGGACATGCGTTTCTCCAACCTGCTCTTAAACTGAACGTTACGTTTTTTGGCTTAATAGAAGATGGCAAAGCATTCCAAACATTTCACGTACTGTGGGTGAAAATGTTTTTGTCGTACTCTTAAATTATATCGATTTTTAAAACCATTTGTAATCGCGAGCCCTAGAATTACTCGCAAAGAAAAATAAAATATTAATATCAATATTGTCTATACCTGAAAATTTCAAAATTTGGATAAGAACAGACCTAATTCGTTTAAATTCCTAATGTAGGGAGGTTAAGGAGTATTAATTTATCATTATATGGATATTTTCTAATTTCAGGCACTAAACGAATTGATCTCTGTTGAAGCTTCTCTCGTTTATCTGAATCCTTATGTATGTTGCCATACAGGACTACAGTATTCAAAGCATGGTCTAATTATAGTTTTATACAGTTGCAAAAATAATTGTCGATCAGATATCTAAAAGTTCTCTTAATCATACCCATTTTTTATTCGTTTTAGATGCCACCTGGGCAATATATGTA